ATCGAGCGTTCGCATTGAGCGCTCGCTCTCCTGAACACGCCTCTGGAGCGATTTGTTTAGCTATATTGCAAAGGATATATTTTTTAATTGTAATTTTTAACATACACCTATACTCGTTACGAAGATCAATGCTGACAAATGCATACTGCATGGAATACTCACGTGTCACCGTACTCATCCTCCTCAACTTCATCCCTCGCATCACCTCCAGCCTGGCTGCGAGTCAGCTTTGTATCTGTAAACACAACATCTTCTTACACATGAGAGAACACTACAGGGAAAAGCTGCAGCTACACTGCAGGTTGCTATGATAGTGAGGCAGAATCAAGGAACACAGATGCAGCTAGGATTTCCGACCTATAGGTTCTAGAATCCATAGGAAATAGCAGATGAAACGTGGGAGCTAGAATTACAGAATTATGATGATGTTGCTTAAACGTAGAAGCTCGAATACAATAATTATAAAGCAGTTGGTAAAATTCAAGGGGTTATAGTTAATTTGAGGTATTCAAGCACCCACACAATAAACTGGATTGCAATTTTCTGTTGAAGTCTCTACGTCTTACTACTGGTTTTAATCACAGTGGTATGATTTATAATGTGACATATATTGGTGAAAAGCTATTTTTGTAAATCGAGTTTCTCAATTAAATGTTTAATAATTGGTTATCGTGTCAGCTACGTGGTCAGCCACAAAGTGTACACCAAAATCTTTCAGGAAGTGAGAAACAGTGCTCTCAATTCTGGTGACACTTACCTGCTTCAAATTTCACTCTCTGTGTGGTATCCACCATAGTTGCTGGTTTCCTAAACTGCAAATAAGACACAGTGGTTGTGAACTTATTGCTTATGACTTTCAGTATTTAAAATTTTTAAGCCTAAAATCCAAAAGTTCATTATTAAGTTAAGTAGTAAACATGGTTATCTTGCCTATCTTGCATTATAGCTGCAAGATAAAAAAAATACTAATCTAAGTTGTATATCTATACGTGACACCATTTTTGCACAGAAGTAGCTAGAGGAAACAACAAT